GTAAAAATAGAAATCAAAGTTTCAATCCGGATTGCGACACAAATCTAGAATTGATTTTCAAGACAGAAATTCAATATAAATTTCATCTATGTTTTCCTCTGTTTATTCAAAATTAACAAATTTGGCCTACTGTAGGTGCTTGAGAACTGGTATGGAACGATGTAATTTCCATCCGAATCCGGATACTGATTCCACAATTCGGTCACGACATCAGTCGTGACGGTCACCATAAATGTCGCACAGACGAAGAGCACAAGCTTTGCTTTCATGCTGAAATGAAGAAATTACGTTAATTCAATCAAATACTTGCATCTGACACAGTTGTTTGAACTGGTTAAACAAAGAAAAGTTTCTTCAAACGAACAAAGAGGGAAGCGTTTTAAATTTTTTTCATTTCACTCCACGAAAAACTAATCGTGAGAAATGGGTGCCCAGTACAAAATAGTTTAAATGTTTATGTATATTATCGTAACCTTCGCAAGCAAGTAGTAATCACGACAATTTCATATACGGTAATCTTTCTCTCCCCCTCCAGTCTAACAGTGGTTTTGGCAATTTCAAAACGTCGATCTACACGGGTGAAAATCTAAGCAATCAATAACACAATAAATGCTGCTACTAATTGGGTTTTGCAGTCTAAGCCCAAAAAACGTACAAGCCTTCTTAGAAAAGGTTGCTTATTTATATGTGCTACGTGCTGCGACTTTAAAATGAATACGTCAAATTTCACGTGGCATCATTTGTTGTAGACACCTCAAGTGGCAGGACTGACGAGCAAACCTCTTCGGTAAGGCAAATGAGAAGCGAACTTTTGCTACCCTTGTAGAATAAGCAGGGGTAACATATTACGAAACAGAGTTTCTGAGTCTTTTGGTTGCAATCTCAACTAATTTAGTATCTCACAGCAATCTTTGGTTAAAATCTAGCTGAAAAAAATCATCTTTGGCATAACCAAATAGATCCTAATGCTAAGAATCTTATCATATTGTAAGAGTAGGTCCATACAAAAATGGAAGGCAGGAAAGATTCACATCTTTTTCTGGACCTTCACGGCTTATATACCAGATATATTTGTGATGATGTTGGAAAAATGGATTGAAGTGCAATTGCACAAACACATTTTCCATTATAAAAGGATGATTAGACGGTTTCCGGGGAAAATAAAAGAGTTGAACGCTCATTATACTCCTGTTGGGATATAACACATGTACAATATCAAAACAGTTGCGTTCTACTTGCTGCACGGCAATTAAGCTATCATCAAATACAATGTATTTATCTTGCGCTTATCATACGAATCGTGAACGATATGATATATGCCATAGATGTCATGTTAAATGCAAGCAATCAGAATTCGCGTGACAACATCTGTCGTTTATAGTGTCAATTTTGAAATAGGGAATGACAGTATGCATGCATCCATATGTATTACATGGACAATATTACTTCTTCAGCCACCGTCCGGCTGTCTTACAGTACGCTTGACGTCAATTTAATTGCTACTTGTTAGGTTGCATTGCGGATTTGTAACATAATTGACGCCTGTTGCACTTGGTAGCTGCGTCATTGTGAGGGTGCCCTTTTCTGTGTTTTTATTGAACTTGGATGAGGCTGGAATCGCTGGCGCTTAATGTTGGATCATTATCACTCAGAGCTGATTTACCTAAACATAGATTGCAAGTTTGTCCTCCAAGAGAAGTACTACGGCGTTCGTCTACGATTGGAACTCTGACGTTTCATTCAAAACAAGCACAATGTGCAAACATTAAGAAGACTGTGCTATTCACATCTTGTATAAATTTTTCAGATGTGTATATATCCGGCTAGTTGGCAATCAATTCTAAACCCAAATTCCCGACTAACGACAACTGTAGATGTAAATCAGCTAAAGATGTCCTCATAAGCTCAAAGTTCAGTTGCTGTGCAAATCGTTGTTGTTTCACAGAATTTTGTGGTTCTTCATGCGTACTTCTCAACAGCGTTCAAAAATCCCAATTTTAATCTAACAGAACTCGTGGTGAGGTTTGGGTATTACTCCACTCGTGTGTAAGATCTCTACCCACGAAGAGCCATCACTTGAAAGGCGCGGAGATTGCGGTCTTCTACCATGAATATACTCAGGCAGTCGATGGGATACCTCCGGAGCAGAAATGGGTCGCGGGCCTTCCCAGCGGAGGATTGCCACTTCGCGCTCCGGAGCCCTGCCATTTCACGCATTTTTGTGATCTGGGGCTCTCCCAAAATTGGCGCACCTCCGGAGCAGAGATTTGCGCGTCGCGGATAGGGGTCCCATTCGTCCTGTTTGTGACGTCACCGTCACGTCACGGTGAATGAATGGGACCCCTCTCCGCCACGCGCAAATCTCTGCTTCGGAGGGGCGCCACTTTTGGGAGAGCCCCGGAGCACAAAAATGCGTGAAATGGCAGGGCTCCGGAGGAAAAGGCAGACTCGCGCCATATGCCCGTTGGACGTCCCTTCGACTGTCTGAGTATGTACAAGCATATGAAGTCCAACTGAAAGAGCATCCGGTAGCATATTTTTGTCGTCAACCTTCTCCTTCCTTGTTTACTTCGAAAGGAATATCACCTAGATTAAAAGACATCGAAAACCAGACAACTTTGGCTGAGTTGTAAATGATTTGTAAAAGCATCACCAAAAATAACTTGGATGTGATGAGAAGTTGTAAAGAAGTATAAAGTGTGCAACTTGCAGAGGCATTCCCAAATATCATCGACTCTAAAAATCGTGACGACGGTCTGCAGTGCGGCCAGTGCGCGCCGCACGGCACTGCCGCTTTAACGTAAGGCAATCTTGCTTCTCAGCAGTGTAGGCTCCCTGCGGTAGCCATGAAAGTTCCTGCAAGCAAAAAAGATGCAAAAAGAAAAAGAAAAACCACAAGAACTCACCTTCTCCACGTAATTTGGGCGAATCACTAGGCGGCAGTGCCGTGCGGCGCGCACTGGCCGCACTGCAGACCGTCGTCACGATTTTTAGAGTCGACGATACCTGTTCTTTTACTTTTTACAACTTTGCATGTTTAAGAATAGATTGCTCATCCATGGTTACCACATGGAGTATGCTCTTTGTTTCTTTTTTATTCAATTCAATTCCTTTCTCGTTGATCTTTTTCGTGAAAAACTGTCTATTGTGGATTCCTGAAGGAAACAAACAGTTTTGTTTACAGGGAAGGTTCTTTAGTACCACCCACTGCGACGCCTTGGCTGTATAAAAGCTACGCTGCTGCATTTTGCAAATTATTAGGTCGTTCCGAAAGTTCTTTCCGTTTTTCCAACCTATCATAAAAAGACGTGGAATGAAGGTAGGGAAACGTTTTGGGCACTATACGACGCAGCTTTTCTTCCTCTTTCTAGCAGTCATACTCCCATGTCGTTTACTCTTGTGATCACTGAGATGATGGCCGAAATTTCGAACACATGGTTTTTACCATGTCCAACTTTGGCAATTTTTCACAATCTTCTTTTTTGACTTTTGGGAAAGCTTTGATAACAGCCAGATAGAGTAAACAAAGTGCAATACAATGCAATTTTTTCGCATATCCAGCTGGCCTTTCAGTATTTTTTGAGATAATTTTTCCAAAAGTCTTCACTTTTGCAAAGTCCCAAAATACAGAAACGCCCGAACACCGGCAAATCTACGGATTTTGAAGCTTTCAAAAGTCAGTTACAATTATCCACAATTTTTAGAAAGCAACTAAGCGTTTACCGCTTGGAAATATAAGGTTTCGCATTTTACGTGTGCAGGCTGGGGCCGGTTCAAAATCAAGAATTATGGAAACTTTATCGCCAAAGGTCCCACAAATTGGAAAGAAAATATATTCATTAGAAAGAGACGGAAAATCTGCATCGAATGGTACCTTGGTTGTGCGCCGTCTTATGTTCTATGGCTCTTGGCATCCTCAAAAATGGAATTTGATAGCATCAGGAAAATAATTCCAAAAATTTTTTGAAGTTAGCTATCAATGCCGAAAAATTGCATTAAATTGCACTTTGTTTACTCTATCTGACTGTTATCATAGCTTTCCCAAAAGTCAAAAAGAAGATTGTGAAAAATTGCCAAAGCTGGACACGATAAAGACCAGGGGTTCGAAATTTCGGCCATTACCTCAGTGATCACAAGAGTAAGCGACATGGGAGTATGACTGCTAGAAAGAGGAAGAAAAGCTGCGTCGTATAGTGCCCAAAGCGTTTCCCTACCTTCATTCCACGTCTTTTTATGATAGGTTGGAAAAACGGAAAGAACTTTCGGAACGACCTAAACAGTAAGACGGTTATAATAGCCAATTTTGAATCACTAGAGCCTGTAATTTAGGGAAATAAAGTTATTGCAAACCCTAGGATCTACAAAGCTTACGACGATGAAAAGTGGGTAGGATTTCGTTTGCAAGTACAAGGCTAGTTTGGTTGAAGGCTGTTCGAGGGTACATATAAATACCCATTCACAACTGATGCATACAACGAAAAACCACATTTTTTGTTCCGCAGACTCCGGAACGGGGTCGAACTTCATCGTTGACTCAGCCTCGATCAGTCAAACGTGCTACCGAAACATCAGTTGCGGGGCAAATTGCGAATTGTGAATTCTGGTCGTTTTGAAGATGAATCATATAGACCACAGTACCGCTTCATCCATCTTCAATTGCATTTACCAGAAACAAAATGAACGTTTTTCACAATCGAACTTCATCGTTGACTCAGCCTCGATCAGTCAAACGTGCTACCGAAACATCAGTTGCGGGGCTAATCGCGAATTGTGAATTCTGGTCGTTTTGAAGACGAATCATATAGACCACAATACCGCTCCATCCATCTTCAATTGCATTTACCAGAAACAAAATGAACGTTTTTTCACAATGACGCCGCTACTCGGATGCAATAGGCGTCAAATGTGTGACGTCCGTAACACCGTTGACAAATGAACCGACGTCTATATTACTGTAAGACGGTTTGAACGGTGGCTGAAGAAGTAATATTGTATTACATGGTGGCGTACCGACGGAAGGAGGGATGCGCCGACCGCGGAATTTTTGAAAGTCACATGAGCCAAAAAGCGTAAGTGACTTGTTTACACTTATAAAAAAATAGTCTTTGAGAGTTTCAAAAATTCAAATTAGCCCCGTAGAGAAATTTTTGGACGCTACTGCCCCCACGCTCCCTTTCTTGGAATCTCGGGGGTATGGTCCGCAAAAATTTTGGCCTAGAGATGGGGAAGTCTCATCAATCAAAATAGTTGTGCAAAGATAATCTCAAATTTGTAAGTTATAATACTTTTGCCGCGTTGGCTTGTGCTGAGAATCCTTGTGAGGTGCATACAGTGCTTTCACTTGTAATCTTTTATACTTGGAAAATTCGTAAGCTTCACCTGTTAAACCCTTTTCCTAGCGGCACCTCCAATAGCGAAATTCAACTTCTTCATCCTCTTTGCACAATCCCTCTTCTAAGAGATTGCACGATGTTTATTAGCCCCGAAAAATTTTGAAGAAAGAGAATGGCCAGTAGTCAACCTTCCGCCAGTTCGATTAAACCAAGGTAACCCACTCAGAAAAACTTCCTCTCACGTTCAGCTCATGACCTCCCACCTTCCCATGTTTGCGAGGGCAAGTTCAAGTCGGAAGACTGCTGAGGTCTGCAGATAAGAAAGACTTGAAGTCAGCGTTGCAATTTCCCAATAAAAATATGCATTTCGCGAGAGGTCACCTCAAGTTCGTGACCCTTCCCTGTATCATTGGAACAAAAGATTAATGAATGAGTTCGAAAACTGGTGAACAACTATTGACACTTGCTTATTTGTAGGAGAAGCAATTTTCAGCATCGTTGACTCGCAAAGATTTCTATAACAAACATGCGTACTAACAAATTCGATATCAGGTTTATATATGCGTAGTTTAGCTTACATCTTACTTAACAAAAGGTTTATGTGTACCTAGGTTACCTTTTAGATGAGACACATAAATTTGGGATCATCTTAGAACGCTGAGTCCAAATGTGCTGCTCCTAGCTGCTTAGCTTTATTCTGAAGCGAGTTATGGTCTCTTTTCTATGCAAAGTTTGCGTGCTCCTTGAAGTACTGATGCTACGGTGTCGACGTCTAGGTGGTTTGTATAATGCTCCCTTTTGAGATCGAAAAAATTAATCTGATGCTAGGCCAACACCCTAGCATTTTTTTCGAGCAGAATTTTAATTTTACGCCGTTTTACGACATTCAGAAGTTTGTTAGTTGCTCACAACAGCAAGCCTATAACCCGCTTCGGAATAAGACTAAGCAGTTAGAATCAGCATATTTGGAATGAGCGTTCAAAGCTGGTTCCAAATATACAGCATGTCCCAAAAAATGTGAACACTGTTTGATCGTTAATAACTCCGTTGTTTTCATGTCCTTCGCCGAGCTTGAGGCACCACTCCGTAGAGCGAGGTACAACTTAGAATTATGTTATGTAGAAAAACTCCTATCTCTCTTCGCTACTAGGATTACGGTATGAACTTCCTGCGGTGAAACCATTGTGAAATATGCCGTTCGACAAAATTTTCAAAAAATCTAAAAAATCGTGTACTAGGGTTTTCGCGCAAGCTGGTTCCAATATACAACTTTTTTACAAGTGATTTTAGCTTTTTTGACGGTGTAATCACATTTTTGACAAATGCGGAATTTCATTTATCAAGGTTTACCTGGGATAACCTTGGAAAAAAGTCACAGCAAGTGGAAAAATTAGAGGCTTCCATTATCATAGTAAAAGAGTTTTTGCCTTGTTTGATTTTGCTCCTAGGCAGAATATGGCTTCCGGTGGCCTAAAACGTTGTCGAAGTTTTTACAGTAATCCCACAGTAAAGAAAAGCGATTGGTGATTCGCTCCATACTATAAATCTAAGTTGAACCTGGCTCTATAGAATGGTTCCTCAAGTCCGGTGAAAGACATGAAAGCAGGAAGTTGTTAACGATCAAACAGTGTTCACATTTTTTGGGACATCTTGTATGTGTTCCATATCAAAAAGCGAATTTAAGTTAGTATTCTTCCCTTGGACAAAGACAACAAAACTATACACTCTTGCGATTCAATGTACAAGCTGCTTGAAACTGATCAGCGTCCAAATTCATTCAGGTGGATTGAGCCGAAAGAAACTTTTTCGGCAATAAGTTAAAATCTATTCGCTATGATTCCAACACTTTCTTCGAAACATCCGACAGATTTGTCCATCGCAATTATGCAGAATCCACAGAGCGCAATGAATGAGCAAAAACTTGGAACCTGGCCACCTCATCCTCTTCTCGCGTGATGAAGCTGCGTTCACTCAAATGTTAGGCTTGTGGGATGACTCTGTACATGGTGAGGTTTCCTAACTAGAAGAGACTGCCCAGCTACTGGTGTAAAAAATGGCTTTCTAAGGCGAGAAAATTGCTTCAGAAGATAGCTTAGATAATTAATGAACCAGACTCCTGTGTGCCTAGAAACGTTTGAAATCCCCTTTCAATTCTGAGCAAATTGCTCACATCTTCAAGTCTTTGTAGCTTATCTTGCACTCTTTACCTCCAAACTATTGATGGGCTAAGCAACCTCCGCCATTTGACCTCCACATAGTTGGTAGCCACGCTATTGTATTGCATGAAAATTTCCATAGCTTTAGTTCAGGAGCACGGTGTCTTCACGGTGTTTTCAGCTTGACATGTGGTGGTCATAGACTGCTAGTGCTGCTACGATGACGATTGTCTAACACGCTACTGACAGAAAAACTCGACATTTTTGCGATTCAAAACCATTCGGTTCCCAAAAAATCAGTTCAAGTTTTTCCTCAAGCACAGGGTAAAATAAGTTTTTATCCACTTTAATTGAGAGAGCCTGGGAGATTGATCCATTCAAATATCAACAACTTCTCAGCTCGAATTTTGCTTCAGCTAATAAAAAATTGTAGAAGTCTTGAAGAACTGTTTGAATACTAATCGAGTAAAATCGGGATTTTTATCGGCCGAACTTTTTGAGTGCATGGACTGGGCTTTGGCCTCAAAAAGATCGTTGTTCAACAGCTTTCGCGCACGTATAAGACATTTGTAGTCAGAATTCAATTTTTTGCGATGATACGCCACGAATTGTAAAAAAAGTGTCAGCTCTAGCATAATCAATATTGATGTTGCTTGCTGTAGATCCATGCTGACTCCTCAATTAGCAAAAATTACCAGCATTTTCAATCGCTTTAAACGGAATGGCGCGATCTCATCATCAATCAATGTACAGAACTGTCTTAGCCTAGGTGAGCGCCCTACTTCTTGTGATCTGCACCACCACGCTTTTGAACAACGGTGGCAAGCCGCGTAGATAGCTGTATTTTTTGCAAAACATTTTTCCTCCAATTTATGGAGGTATCTTCAAAATAAGCCTTCCACAGTTGTCGTACGGTTCTTCACTCTTGTTTATCCCAATAAATTTTGGACTGCTTTCTAAAAAATATATAGACCTCTCTGTGTAAGTGTGGTGGATTGCGCGGCTTTCTCAACGGAATTCAGCCCAGATTAGTGCCGCTTTTTTGCATAAAAGTGAGGTCTGTGTTAACAGTCATCCCAGTTTGGCTAAGGCGTATCCAAGTTGACTTCACTACGTTTCGCCCAGCATGCGACGAGCTGTCGATCTAGATGCAAGTGGCTCTCTAGACAAGAAACAGTGAACTGAGTAAAAGTGCAGTACAAACCACATTTTCGTGTACGAGAGATTGCAACTCTAAGCACTTTATGCTCTTTACATCTGAGTGAGTGCCAACACTGCAAACACTATGCCCATTCTTCTTGTGCAACTGAAGTGCCCTAATCGATAAGACTTACTCCAGTGATCGTCTTTACATTGAACAATTAAACAAATTCGAGTCCACTGAATTTAACAACCTGCTTTTTCATCGTCACAGTCACATTTTTTTCAAATATCCAATCAAATGCAATTTGCGACAATTTAATGTGTAGATAACGCATTCAGTTTTATACCATTTTCTACTTTATTTTTGACACTATAAGCGACAAATATGGTCCCTCCAAATCTGATTGCTTGCATATAACATGATGATATATGGCACATAAAAACATCCAGGATTGATATATGTGCAAGAAGATATGTTCTGCTTGATGATAGCTTGAATATCGAGAAAACACAATGAGAACAGAGCTGACGTTTGATTTGGTATTGCATATGTGTCATATTTCATTGGAATCTGGTAAACGCTGTTTAGAAGTTTCTGCCGTTTATAAAAACCGTTATTTATGAAATTTCCCCTTTTATGAAAAACTGGTCATGCACTAACAATTACACCATCCTTTTTTCTACTCCTACCAAATGCTTGGTATATAAGCCGTTGAACGTTCACAAAGAGTGTGATTCTTCTGCGTTCTTTCTGACTCTTGCGATTTCACGCGGAAAATATCAAGCCCTGGCCTTAATACTTGTTTGTCAAAAAAACTTTGATCCTTTCCTTTGCTTACACCTGCTGTGAACTAGTTAAGCCATCAAACCGATTGCGCGAGTCAAAATCACATACGAAAGCTTTCGTGGACGCAGGTGGCAGCGGCCGCTGTAACCCTCTTATCTAATAATTACCAAGTCATCCCTGTAAGCAATATCGATGACCTAGTTTCAGGGTGTAGAAGCATAAGATTCCAATATGATAGCGTACATCTTTGGAATTGAAAGAGACTACGAAGCTAAAAAGACATAAAATATACATTAAGTCATTATATAATTTGCGGTTTTTGGTGTTCCCAAATTCCACACACTTGCGTATATTTAGGACACTTCATGCTTTGTCGGTCTCTGAGTTTTTCCTCCTCAAGGGATATGGACAAATACATCTGTCCTAATTCTGATTGAACCAATCGTGCATTAATTTTTTTTCGTTTCAGGATAAAAATGAAGTTTGCGTTTCTCGTCTTCACAACATCCATCATGACTGTCATGGCTGATGTCGTGACTGAATTGTGGAATCAGTACCCGGATTCGAATGGAAACTACATTGTTCCGTACCAGTTCGCAGGCACCTACAGTAAGTGTATTTGTTCGTTTCAGATTATATATCAGAGAAAAAATTTCAAAATCTTTGGGTATTTGGTTCTTTTTAAAATTTTCAATTGTTAGCAGTAATGGGAAAATAATTAAAAAATACACTCAAAACATTAAATCAAATTCTGTGTCCACAGGCCCTGAAGAGCGTTCGACGATCTTGGCAGCTATGCAAAAAATTGTTGCCAATACTTGTGTTCAATTCAAAGAACGTACGGATGAGGATCAGTATGTCGAGATTACCAACGAGGAATCGGCAGGGTAAGTTATTTCCATAAGTGATTGTGAACATCTCTAGGAATTCCCTAAAACTTCTCTTCTCAGTAGTGAGCATTCAAAATCTACAATTTATTAATTGAAATATTCCATTGTACTTCAATCACAATGGGAAAAATTCATTTCAAACATTCTGGGTTTCAGGTGCGGTGCAAACGTGGGAAGAGTCTCAGGAAAAACGGCTGTTTACCTTGAGTCGAGGTTATGGACGAACTTAACGTCTCCGATTTTTGGTTTGGACAAATAATATTTTAGCTGTATGGACGCAAAAACTGTCATGATAATGCTTCTGCACGCTTTGGGACTGAGTGGCGAGCATCAACGAGAAGATAGAGATGACTACGTCAAAATGCATTTCGAGAACATGATAGGTCGCTCTCAAAAGATCTTAAAGGGGGAGTGTGATAGTTAGCCGTGATTAGATCCAAAGACGAACGCCTTCCTCGCCATAGCCGAATCAACGCAAAAGTATCTCAGCGTGCCTTACGACTACCTTTCTATAATGCATGATGCAAAGGATGCTTATGCAAAACCAGGCACGATTACCATTGAAACAGTCGATCCTGCCTTTGAGGTAAGTCTCAGTTTTCCGTTGACTGGACATGTGGAGAAATGCAGAGACATTCCTGTTTAAGGACAAGATTGGGAAGCAAACTGAGCCGTCTGCTCGCGACTACGAGAAGGTCAATTTGCTTTACCAGTGCAGCAAACCCTGAGTCAGTACGTTAGCAATGGTTTTGCTTTACGAATAAAAGATTGAAAATTCATCCTTACGCCAGATTATACACTAAATATACAACCATAAAAAATCGGACACATCTTGACTAAGAAAGACTACCAAGATGAAAACGGTTAGAGAGTGACTGAAAGCATTTAGTGCTTTGGCAGCAAACAATTAGTTGCATTCATACATGTTTGGCAGCAAAGCTGCAAATTGATAAGCATTTTTGAGTCTTACAAGGAAAGAATGGTTGGTTGAAGCTTGTAGAGCTTGGGACGCTGGTTCCAAATCTACCTTTGCTATCTGCTGCGGGCTTATGGGCGAGGAGGATTTTTGTGAGTAAAAATCTGAATGCAAGAGTAGCTAAAATCAGTCGTAACATTATTATAGGTCTTGATTGGTAGTCGGGTCACTAGGTGCAACAAATATTCTTAATTCAAGTATACCAATCCGCTGCTGCCTCATTTGAACATTGGGAAAAGGTTACGACTGACTCCCCATTTTTGCATTCAGTTTTTTACTCACAAAAATCTTCGTAACTCCTCGCACAAAAGCCCGCAGCAAATAGTAAAGGTAGATTTGGAGTCAGCGTTCCAAGCTCTACGAGCCCAGTATACATCTCATTTCAAAAGGCCACTTCGACCAACCTTCCTTCCCTTGCTAGTCTTATTCTCACGAGACTTCAGTCAGATATGCTTATTCCTGAGCTTGTAAACAATTTCCGGCATTTAACATAATCTAACTGTTTCGCGATACAAGTGAAGATTCTATTGAAAAGGTCAAATATTAGTAAGATGAATAAATCAGAAACAAGAAATGAATAAGTCGTGAAGTTATCTTGAAGAAAAATAAATAAATTGAATACACCATCAAATTTTAAGCTAGTGTTTATCCACTCAGATAACTGATGAGGCTATTACATCAACAAAACTATTTTCTCTGCATTGCGCACAGGCGGGCAAGCGCTTGATGCCCCTCACCATCTCTTGAAAGAACACAAAGTGCAAAAGCTAGTATAACACTTGAGGCTACGTCGTGTGCATAGAAGACGAGACGATTTTCTTCTGGGATAGATTGCTGGAAACATGTCAACTTGCAATATATCACCGCAGTCAAGTGTCTGAAATGTCATCTAAAAGTGTTTTTAGAAACATGACTTGAATTGCTCCCTGATACATCCGCTTCACAATCGAATAGTGAGAGCACTGAACTTTTCTGAATTTTGAGTTTTTGAGGCAAGACTCAAGAGCTAGTATAACAAAGGGCGATTTTGCGAATTACATCAAACAATGATCTTTTTGAAGAAACAGTACTATATCATGGTGCTCTACTTGGCACTATCGTTTTTTAATCGCTTTCTTTTTTTTCTGGATGAGCCGTTGCTTCCTACTTTTTTTCAGTTCAGTTAACTTCACGCTATTTTCTCTTCGTGTCATCTCTAACGTTAGATTGTCTTCTTTCCTTTTGTAGCATTATCTTTTTGTGTGCTCTCGTTAACGCCATCCTGAAGAAGTTCTTAAACTCTTCCAAGTGGCATCGCACCGTTTTGCTTCCGAAGCAGAAAATCGTACGGAAGCATCATAGATTCCTCAATGTGGACGAGCTCCGGAGCCCAGCCTTCTATCGTTTAGTGCAAGCTAGAGTGCGCATGTCGCACTCTAGCTTGCACTAAACGATAGAAGGCTCTAGCTCGTCTCATAGTTACCATATTACTATAAGCGCCACAACGACTGCGTTTCGATATTAGCTTGTTTCGCGTCCATATTTCCAACTCAAAGAGCGAAAAGTTGGCGAAATTCTGTTGTCGGCATTCTTGTGCTTTCTGGACCATATCTTCGGATACAGCAGGAAGTAGTCCAAATAAGGGAAAATCCTCAATTCTGACGGATGCTGCTTGTGAGCCAACTTCACAATGCGCTGTGAGCACTCCTCATCCAGCAGTGCCTACCTTTGAAATGAATTGATTTAAGTTAGTGCATTCTCGTTAGCGCAGAACAAGAGGAGCCCTGCTACACTGCCTACAGAAAAAGTGTAAGAGTGGCTTAATGGCGATAAATCAAATTTCACTTATCTGGAAAGCTCCAAAAATGGTCTCAATAGGGGGGTCTGTTGAATCAAGGAAAAAGTAGCCTACAATATTCGTCAGTGTTTAACACGTTGACGACAGTGCCGCGCAATGGTGCGCGGCGGCCTTAAATTCGATACTATCTGCCCAATCCTCTCAGTTTTTGTTCATATAATCAACATAGGCTCGGATGTACTTCATGTATTAGCCCCGCCTCTTTTGGCAAACTTTTATGCCTCTCACAAGGATCCTTTTTGTCCACAAAAAGCATGGATGAGGCTGTAGATGAACGCAAAGACTTCAAGCAACTTCTAGCCAGGCCCCGCCCACCGTCAGGCAAGCTCCGCCCCCTGAGTGGCAAGCTCCGCCCACTTTCCAAAAGTGGCGGAAATCGCATAAATTCTTGAAATTTGGGCAATTCCCGACATTTTTGATCGAGTGGGCGGAGCTTGCCAGAGGGGGCGGGGCTTGCACATTTTGTACTTCGTGCATGGACGCATGCATGCATACATGGGCCACGCGTAGGGATGCATGGAAACATTTCGTCCACAGGGACAGACCGCAATAAAATGGCTCGTCGTCAACGTGTTAAAAGTGCATGTGCAAGTTCTCAGCTCAGTATACACATAAGGCATCTAGGTAACCTACGTACACACATACACACAAAACTTTCAGCTTCGGATATGTAAAGAATGGAACAGAAAGTAAGCTAAACTACACATATGCAAGATTTATACTTGGACTACTATTTCATAGTGTGCATGTTTGTTATAGAAATTTCTGTGGGTGAACCAGTAATACTAGAGCTGGTTCACCCACAATTGAACTGCTCTTAAATTTTTTGCCTGTTTTCGAACCCATTTACTGATTCTTCGATTTGTCGACATAAAGGGGGGGGGGGGTCACGTAGTCAAATGACCCATTCTTATGAGATGGAAGATTTTGTTGGGAGGTTGCAACGTCGACTTTAAATCTGCCTTATGTGCAGTGCACTTTGAGAAGGCAGTTATAAGCGGTTTACCTTCTGGTAGATAGCTCTTTTTCGCCAAAGCGCGATAACACATCTCAGCACTGGAATAATGGTATTTGTCTTGCAGACAACTGGTTGAGGGTTCCAATTCTGTTTCCGAAGAACGTTTTTGTTTTCTCTCAAACAATTGAACAAACATGCCATATGCGAGCAAAATATGATAAATCTGGGCATAATCAATCATGTTACTTATTCATACCAAATTCACCATTATCGATCATTACAACTGTGATTTTACAAGTTTACCAAGGTATAAGTTATACTGACTAATTGTGTCTCTTCTTTTCCATCTGGCGCACTCTGATGCATTGAAAGATAAATCATAAAGTATTTTAAAAACATATGTACGTTTAGACAATGGAACGTTGTTCGACAACACTGAATACTTACCCGGCCTGCTAGAGAGTCCACTCACCACCAAATTGTCTCTAATGTAAATTAGTATTGCATCAAAGAGAGGCTAATTTCGAGAGAAGAAAACGCTTACACTTCTTTTCTAGGGGTCACTGCGGATAAAGATGGAACATTTGAATTATTCCAAGCTCTGAGTGACGCTTTGCATTTGGTGAAAACTGGCAACTTTGACCTTCTGACCCTCCCTTGTTAGACCCGGAAAAGCGAAAGCTTACCATTCACTTCATCATGTATCATGGTAATCTCAGGGAAAGACGATGCGGTAACGAAGCGCTAGTCTAAGGCAAGCCTATGTTTGGAAAAAATTGTTTGCAGCGCAATGTCTACAGTGCAGGTAGGAGCAGGAAGCACAGCAATAAATACGATGGCAGCGAACAGAAACACAGGAAAGCTGCATGCTTAACGTCAGATGCGAAAGTCGTCTTGTCTTTGGTAATGGTTGGCTCTGAAGAGATGGGAATGCCGGCTAGTCACTCATAATCTCAGCATAAGCTAAGCCTTTTCGACGCTGCCCATAGCAGTCATGAATTACTATCAATTCACCTACGCGTGGACCAATTCGGTAGTGGGAAACTCCTCCTTGTGTCTTAACTACTGGTGGCAGAACACTTCTCGGGAAAGAACTTCAATTCTGATTCCTGAACTTATTATTTGATCCTCACTGCGGTGTTATGCTTTACTGCTACATCACTATACCCACTAGAAATCAGATGTAATTCGGTAAAACATTTGATATAAACAAAGCAATTTTTCTTAATGTACACCATCTTCTCAGTGATCTCGATAACAAACTCTTAGATAGCAACAAATTTATAAGCATTTAGTAATTCTTGAAGAAGAGGCATCAAGAATGACTCACTACAAATTACTACAAATTAAAGCTTTTCTATTAGGTCCTCTCATAAGTTTTTTCTCCAATTTCATGTTTTTGCCGCAGAATGTTCTCAATTTTGGTTAGAATGCAGGGCACGGTTCGATAGAGCAAAGCAAGCTTTACAAGATGGCGTGTGGGTTTGCACCGGCTTTGGTGCACTTTGAGTCAGAAAACGAAATCTGAAAGTTTTAGATTCCAGGAAAATTGAAAATGATTTATCTGCGTCTAAACAAACTTGCCGGATTTTTCACTCGTTCATTCACATAATTCCACATTGGACATTCATATATGCCGTTGTTGTATATTATTGCATGCTAGAAATAAGAAAAACCAAAATTCTTGACTTATTAGAAAAGTGAATCTGTGTTCGCTGAAAGGTAAATGTATCCCACAAGCCAGAAGAAGCACAACTGCAAATTTGCAGCTTTTTACAATCTCTGATTCCCGAAAAATATTGATTTTTTTTATAAAATACCCTCGCAAGAAAAGTTACCCTAATTTCACAAGTATAGGACGCACCCTTTTCGATTTTCCAAGGAGCCGCAAAGCCGCCTTGCTCTGTCGGAAAACGAGACTTATGCCGCACGACTCTCAGGCTATATGCAGCACTGTACATAGTTTTTTGGTCACGAAGTCCTTCGGCGTGTCCGTACTTCTCTAATCAAAAAAAATCCCCCGCGTCTTATTATACCCGTGAAATAAGGGTATTCAATTTTCGAGAATTAGAGCTTGTAGGAAGCTGGGAATTTGCGAATGGGCTTCTAAAGGCACGTAGTATACACTTACCTATGTGTGAACAGCACATCATAGTTCTTTGAAAGACGATAAATTCTGATTTCTCGGCTTCCAGCACAGATACAAATACAAGCAGCAGCTTATATGAATGTATACTATGTAGGTGGAGTATATATGTACGTGAGAGAGTGAGAAATCCTGTAAGTTTGTCTTGAACAAAAATATTCTTCAATTTACCGAGTATCTGGTACCTGCTAGATTTCGGCTTCTAACTAACAATCACAAGCCATCTCAAAGAGTTTGTTTTGTTCTTTCAAACGTACCCTGCATCCATGACTTTTTGCTGTAAGAAACTTATAAAAACAAATATTATGAGACACTAATAATATGAAGGGTAGGCGCAAAAGTTTACACAGACAAACTAAAATAAACAAACTCCCCCAATGTGTGAGAGAGCATTTTGATTGAAGTTACAGCAAGTCTGAGAAAATTGACCGCTCAAATTGCCTCTTTCAGGTCTACCCATTCAAATGAGTAAGGACGGGAATCCATTCTAGGCATCGTTGTGTGACTTTTATTGCCCACCAACGTATAACCGTACTTGAAGGCTCCACCAGCCCCGCCCAATTACTTTGAATGGGCGTCACTGGTGGAAATTTGACGCATGATCCCAGGACTTAGCTTATGTGGAAGGTGAGACTGGGTCTACAATGTACGTGATGCGTTTACTAATAGTACCAGAATCTGATAAGCTGCCATTCATTGAGTCACTGCCTTCAAGCGAAAACGGCAGATTTAGCTTGTTTTGTCAGAATCGCCTTGCGTAATGAAGGCTGCATTCATTCGAATATGAGGTTGATGGATTTTGATTCTGTAAGGTATTGAGACTTCCAACTAAGAAGTTGCCCAAGCTGAAAGGTAACTTTGAAAAAAACTGCCGAGAAGGTAGGTTCAGCTGTTGCCAATCCCATTAATGTCGGTGATCTGAAGGTGATAAGTTTGCAACGGCCAAAGTGCCCAGAAACGTCCGAATACATCTACTGTGAAACCTATAAATGTTCGAAGAAAATTTCGTTTTACTGAATTACGCTGTAAGAATTTGTAGAAAAATTTTGCTTGTAAGTGAATCCACCTTCCATACCACATCAAGAGCTTCCAATTATGAAAAAAAATTCAAAATTCTATCCTTTTTTGACATTCAGAAGGAAGGCACGGCGCAGAAATCAAGCTACTTCTAACAAAAAAAAATTAAGTTCTCTTTTTTCTCCTCCGTCTCTCTTTTTATTGCGTAATCACCAGAGACAGCGGGGATTTGATGCAGGAATCAGGATATGGTCGAGGGCGCGGTGTTTGATTCAGGCCAAAGAAAGGAACGGAAAAAATTTTTAAGTCTCCAGAAACATCTATTGAAATAGCAAAACAACATGATTTTTTAGGTGGACATCTGATTAGCGCCCTTCACTGGACTGGGGGACTAAAGAAATAGCTGCAAAGGTTACTCAATTTTATTCAAATTTATTTGAACCTGCTATCTTCACAATCAAACTGATTTTCTTGTGGATTTCAATATTTTGACGTTCCTAACACATGCTCTCAAATGTATAAATATCTAGGGTTCCAAAAGTTGTCTTAATGGCTGGTTGCCTTACCAATAGCAACCTAGTGTTGATCCTACGAAAATTCGGTGATTCCAAACTCTGTCGGAGAACATCAACTGTGGTCCAAAAAGGCATTCTACTATTTATTAGTACATGAGGACAAGATCGCTTTCCCAAAAATTCCGATACCAACTGCCTCAAAACCGGGTAGAAAACTCTGTCGCGAAAGAGGAGATTCCGCGCGGACATTTGTAACTAACAATAAGATTGCATACAATAGATGCGCATTTGTTTCCAGATACGTCCGCGCGGAACCCGCCCTTTCGCAGTCTATGGTTGCTGTAAGGATTTCGAAACGAAGCACTTTGTAATTTGGATATCTGCTACTGTAAAATAGTGTCCATCGAAGCCGCTTAACCTTACGATATACGGCGTGAGAAGGAGATCAGCGAGTGTGGGATTATCTTTTGAGGAATTCGACTTGGATGGATATTTCTATATGTTCTGTTTTTGAAGCGAGTGCTTCAAGCATGGTCAGTGCTAGTTCCATCTTATGAAAAAACGCCGCGAAGTTTAGTTTTAGATGTTCAATCGATAACCCCATTTTCGCAGTTCATTCACCACCAGTATGCTTGCAATGCAGCCCCTATTGCGACGTAAACTTGGCTAAACAGTCGGAACTCCGTATCTTGGTTTAAAATAATTTTCACGAGACATGCTAATTTTTGGAAAGCCGGTGATACAAAGATTCGAAAGTAAACCACCGAATATTCTAGATTTACTATCAATGAAAGAGCTTCCATTGAATTGCCGCGACAAAAAAAATCGAGGTGAAACCCTCGCATGTTCAAAATTCAACTAAAAAATCAAATTATTCGTAGTTATGTTTTTAGAGTGACAGTGACATTTTATCAGTGGCAGAACGTCAATGATAAAATGTCGATGAAAAAAGAATCTATTTTTATTAATTGACCTAATTTGATCTATCAAATTATTTAATTTATCTGACTTCAATCTATTTGACTACAAGTTGTGAAGTGTGACGGTTTCACCGCGAATTTCTCGTCGCAGCGAATTACTCTTTTCATTGAGGGTAAATCCAAAACATTTGATGGTTTTTCGAGTCCCTGTACCCCACTAGCTTTGGAAAAATCACCATCCAATCTCGTAAAAATTACCTCGAACCTAAATACGAAGTTTCTACGTTTAGTTGAAAATGATACACTTCAGCCCTTTTTTTACTCGAGTTGGGGGCTGCATTGTACTTATGCATCTCAGAATCGAATTGGTTTCCAATAAAGCGCCTTCTTTTTAAATCTTAACAAAAACAATTCTTGAGCAAGGTGGATGGTTGTTTCATGACAATAATTTTCATTTATTTATACTACAATTTAGGTTCTCCCAATGATTTCCATTGCGCACGAATTTTATTCACAATGTCATTGCCGATAAGTTCAAAAAAAGCCGAGCAAAGTTTGATATTTAACCATATGTCTTGCCAAAGTATGTATTATCAGAAAAAACATCTTCAAATGCTAGAGCGAACCAGGCCACAGAAAAGTCAGTAGCTGACATGAGCATTCTATGAAGTTAAAATCAATTGCATCAAAATGATGGAAAATCTCTGAATTATCTCACTCAGTAATTTCGAATTCGCTGAAAAGTCAGTAGCTGACATGAGCATTCTATGAAGTTAAAATCAATTACATCAAAATGATGGAAAATCTCTGAATTATCTCACTCAGTAATTTCGAATTCGCTGAGCGTAGAACTGAATATTTTCGGAAGCTGCTGCTGGGTACACAATCCATTTTATTGCGTTTATATGTAATGCACTCGATTTCGATAACAAGTTTTTTTAGTAGAGGAAGGGGTAGAAAATTTGTGTTAGAGTGATGGGCGTGGAGTTGGCCAGCCTTTGAATGTTTTTCACATAGCGATTATGTAAAAAAACTGTCTTGGCGCAATCCTTGACGACTGAATAATCATGTTTTCCGGAGTTCCGCGCCGGACCCTGCAAAACGAGATGCTCTTTGCACGATATTCATCCTTCCTCGTAGGCCATCTGTGCCAAGCTCCAATTTCAGTTGCCAAAACTCGCAGGAAAAAAGCAGGGCTTTATTCAAAATAACCGCATCCATATAACAAATCGTGACACGGCGTGAATTTTGATTTTACTACTCATCCAAGTATGTTAAGCAAGTGAAAGCCGCTTCATCACGTCAAATGTTCAAGTATGTCTGGCAAGTGAGATCCACTTCATCACGCTGAAGGATGAAACACATCTCGCCGGCGAAAGTGGAACATGTAAATGTAAAGTTTCCAGAGAGGTACAAGTGACAAATTCCTTTACTTGGAACCTGCAAAGAGTAAAATGTAGTGAGAGGTCGTTTATGCAGTTCTACACAATTCTATCAATCAGTAGAAGAGCCTTTCATGTCGACTTTTGCAGAAAGAAGAAAATTTAGCGAATTGGTTTCAAACAACTTTTGACGATCTAGCTGATACTCAAGCTGATCTTTTTGCGATACCTTAGTCATACTGAACAAATGAAAATGTCATCTAAGAGGCTGCAACTTTGGCCGTGGCAATCCAATAATTTTTTTAGAGTAAAGACAGGAGGATACAAAAATACTTCTTAAAATTTTTCATACTCGCATTTCGATAATTTGCATGCAAGAACAAGGTGTTTGCACAACTTTGGTTTTTGCGTGCATGTTCGTCCAAGAGCTCCTGTAGTTTTGAAGAAATTGAAACTTGCTACTGCAGATATGAAGCATGTGCATAAGCAAAATGATGTATATGTAAAGTTTTGACAGGACAAAACAAATTTCGATTTTTCAACACAACCGGTTTTCCGCTTACTGTGCACTTGAAAAATTTATGGTAGCCTTAACATTTAACAAAACATTTCTTCAAAATATCTGGAATTACATTCTTTCAAAAATACAAAACAATTTATTAGATTCTTGTTTCAAAGTCTTAAACTTCTTTGATCTCCAAAAATTTGATTCCCAATTCTCTTTGATCTTTTCTCTCTACTCTTAACGTATAAATAGAATTCCTTTAGTTCATTTCTATGTATTTCTGCTATCACCATTCTTCCCCACTGATGAGCCTCGGGAGTGGTCTGCGTTACACCAACGTTACGTTCACATGACTGACGTTTCCCAAATTGTCGTAGTTAAGCGCAATGCAGCTCTTGTCATTGTAGCACTCAGCAAAGCATTCATTTTTTTCCACTTTAACTAAATCTCTGAGATCGTCGATACCACTCAGCTTCTCCACCTTGTCGAACACGCACGATGAAACCTTTTCCGCCTAAGATGAAACAATTATGATAGATTCTGATAGTCGCGCTGTTTGAAATGGCAATCTTACCTGGATGACAAGAAGAAAGAGAGCCAAGCACTTCATCGTTATGGAAGCTGTGCAAAATGCCTTCCAAACGCTCCACCTCTTAGTCTAAGGGCCTTAGATACCAAAAACAATGGCAGTAAAATTTGTTACTAGGAGACTTATTTGACACACCAAGATTTCGAGGAGGTGGCTTAGAAACAATACCTCAATCCTTATGGCCGACTTTAATTTCGTGATTGATGCAGGGTTACCTGAATATTTTTAACAGGCTGCTAAAGCAAGTATTTTACTTTAAATGTACAAGAATATGTATGCACTCATGAGAATGAGCTTGTTTAGTCCGCCGTGCGAAAAATTGTATAAAATCTCTAATAATCAGAAACTTTCATCTTTTCGCTTCAGATTCGCTTGAATTTAAAAAAAAACAAAGCAGTGTAAATATAGAGCGACTGTGCAGTCCTATCAAAATTTTAGCCCACAATTCTTGACGGCCTTACTGACTTTTGTAAACATATGTTCATCTAAAACCCCAGGTCTTCTTCTGGGATGTTTTACCACATCAATTTCAGGCCATTTTTTGAAGCCAAGTATTATCAGAACAACTAGCAAAGAGAGAAAGTTTACTGCAATGTTAGCGATGCCTACTCAGCCACTGTCCCTTTTGAATCCTAGGCTGTACTCCTCTGTTGCAAAGTTATTTTCATATGAAAATGATTACGGAGAACATGACATGTTCCGGAGTTCGATACAGCAACGTATGACCTGTTTTATCACCTGATACAAAAATTGATTCAATCAATAGTTTGTTAACTGTTTTACTCTGTCTTCGGGAAAGAACGAAATGGAGTTGAATGGTTTTTCTACCGGAGATGATAAAAATTTATTATTTCCTTATTGAAAGTTGATTAGAGATCTTCATCTTGGTAGACACCCGTGGCTGCTAGAAAGATGAGGAAATTCTACATCAAATCTCGTAAAAAAAGTTTCTTTTACACCTGGCCAGGATACGAACCTCTAGTATCCTGGATGTAACTCTCCTTTGAGCACTCTAACCAATGAACTGTTATGAGGGTGAAATCCTCCAAGTGAAGAATTCAAAATTTGTAGCTCTTTGAATTAAATAGGTCCATCATTACTTCATGTCGTCAAAATCTCGACAAACATGTATTTTCTAGACGGGATCCTTATGCGCTTTCAGAAAATTAATGTGGCCTTTCTGGTATTCTGAAGCGCAAATTTCGGATTTAGAATCAGCGACTTCGATTAGCCCACTTCAGAAGTTTCTGGATTGTTTGGCTTTCCTTCTGAGACAAGATAACGCTTTCAATCAGGGCCCGGCACGAGGTCGGCAAATGACAAGCTGGAAATCGTTCTGGGGCCAAAAAGAAAAGGGGAAATCGTTTTTGCGGGGTCCGGGGCAGAGCCCCGGAAAAAAATTGGTAGTTCATGCTCGCTACTTATCTTGACATGTTATGTGCCTTAACAGGCGAACACTGGAGTTCGCGCGCGTCAAACCGCGCCGTCGCTAAGTGCCGCACGCGCGACGTCGCCCAAGCGATGCTATTTGTAACTGCATACATGACTAGTTCTCAATGTGTGTGTAACGATATGGCACCAAATTTTGTATGCGAACGGACAGAGGCTAGTGGAAACATAGTATGAAAAATTATGAAAAACTTATGTGAACGGAACGAGTAATTAGCATTTTTTCCGAGAATTTCGCAATAATGAAAATGAAAATGTGAATTTAAACGGCTCGTTTGGAAAGCGCAGATGAACGATATGGTATGAAACTTGGTAAGTACATGCACACGGGCTTGCAGGACTTAACTGAGGAGTTTCATTGAGAAATTATGTGACTGAAGGTTGTGGCAAACTTTTTTCTGGAAATTTTGCGCTACCAAAGAAATGGAAAAATGGCTCGTTTGCAACGCAGAGGTAACGAAATCGCGCGGGCTTCGGTGTGTATATGCGCAATAGGACTAAGTAATAAAGTATGAAATATTATGAAAAACTTATGTGAATGAAGAGTTTCCTTAACTTATTTCCAAATTAGGTCGGCATTTGCCGACCTAATTCCCACCTGAGGTCGGCAAAACTCTCAATTCACATAATTTTCTCAAAATTTTTACATAAATCTGTTCTACACCTAAAGTTTACTACATGGTGAAATTTTGGTTCCGAAATTCCTCCTCTTGTCCTTGTTGGAGCCCAAAATGGCATCAGCAGCCCAGCTTTCTAAGATAGAAAGCGCGCCCCAGTCAATCGATACGCGCGGGAACGGCGTCTCTCATTCCTATGACTGCGTTTCTTTGATATTTTCTGATTCCCTAATCCTTTTTACTGCTTATTTTTCTTCCTGTTTCCTATCTTGGCACAGCAATTTGAGTAATATGAGGAATTTGAGCAATTTGGGCGCTTTTGAGCGCTTTTAGGCGAAGTGTGGCCGGTAATCTCGTCGCACAAGCACAAAACGTCATTTTTGGGCTCAAGGGAGTATTCGTAAAACTTACTGGGATCAAAGGGGTATTCGTTTTGGAAAACTCCGTTTGCCCACCTTGTGCCGGGCCCTGCTTTCAATGCCTGCCTTGAATTCCTCTCCGAAGTTTCTACCGTAATCTTACAGTAAAGAAGAGCGACCGACGATTGCTCCACACTTCGAATCTATCTTAAACGTCGCTCTATAGAATGGTATAGGCAATGTCACCCCTCTCATCGGTCGTGGGTGTCCAAGAGTTGAGGCTGCGCGCGCGGTAGCTGGCATGAATTCAGATATGTGACTCGATTCGCCTTGCTCTTTTCATTTCATTTCATTTTTCATTTATTCCTAGGGATAACCCTTTCGATTGTCATCTTGTCTTTTTCTGCGATTGACTTCTTTTGAGTGCACTTCATGTCTAATATTCGCTCTTCTAGCAATGAAAAACTTTAAGGTTTCAGCTTCTACAAGGCTGGATCGAGGAAAAGTGGACTTTTTGCATTGACTGCTCATGACAGATTATCAAGCGATGTTCGGATTGGTAGGTTTGGAGCTATTAGATTAGCATGCGTTGTTCATTGCAGTGTTTTCGATGATGATGTCTCTAGAGCAGTGACTTCAAGTCTCCAACAATTCAAAAGGTTTCTACCATCGGCCACGATGGTAGAAACCAACGTTTTGATTACGACTGAGGTATCATTGCACTTGAAGTATTTTCATATGATTTTCCTTGTCTACTTTATTTTGTTATTTCTATCTTTGCTTTCATTGGCTCCTTTTTACGCCGAGGAAACATGAACTAGATAAAACTTGCAGTCTTTGCTGTTTGTCTCAAGTGTGTAGCAAAGTATCTCGTTTTTGCGTAAGCAAGAGCATCATCCCTCGTTTGATCCCTTCAATACTTCATTCCAGCTGTCGCGACCTCTAACGCTTAAGAGGAGTTTTTAAATCTCTTTTGCAAGCAATTTGACAACCATTCTATCGGTTAACATCTCACCACCCAGATTCATTCATTTAATGAGCATCTAGTTCGAAGAAAAGCATGTCCTACCAAGCTTCTGCTTGAGTCTTTATCATGCAAACGACGTGACATCATCTGAAATCAACAGATTGCGACTACACCGAAAGATATTGAATCTCCAACGGAGGAAATAAAAGGAAAAGCATTAAGTTTATCTAGGTCACAAGTTCAGCCACAGACGCTTCGGCGCTCGAGTATTGTTTCTGTCGCCTGCGGCGCGCGCGCAGCCTCAGCTCGTGGATACCCACGACCGATGCGGACATTGCCTATACCTCAAGCTGGGCAAAAGACATGAAAGCAGAAGAGTTATTAACGATCAAACAGTGTTCCCATTTTTTGGAACATCCTGTACATCAGTGACCTTTTCAGAAAAGTCAGTGTGAAAGGATCAGCATGAACGCAGACTTAGACGATAGCTCAGTTACAAAACAACATTTCGAGCATCCATTTGAAAAACGCAGATAGGACTTTGCTGAAAAGGTCATGAACAATTTTTACAAAACACATGAACATTACATCAAAACATGCGCTAAGTAAAGGACTGTTTAGAAATTCTTATGAACGGAATAATAACCAAATGGATAAGAATTGCTCTAAGTTCTCTAAGAAATAACAGGCAATACTTATTTTCATATTTGACCGGTCCTCCTCTCTCTTTGTATTATAGCCCGCTAAACAGTCGTCAGCCCTCAAGTCCTCTTTTTTTCCTCTACTTCGCAGCACGGCCGTGTTTCTATGAGGCTTTCATCTGAAACAGAAAGGAATCAACAAAGCTCAAGTGAAAAAAGGACTACAGATACTGTTAGAAAAAAAAACAAAACAGAGAATCCTAGAAAATGAATGTCGCTTTTTAAGTGCCGTAGGACTGGAGCACACTTTCCAATTCTTCACGCTCCCGTACGAAAGCTATTTGAGGCTGTAGCAATGGTATCACTTTGTTTTTGGAAGCGAATTTTTGGTAGTAGTAACACTTTCAGCCTAGTTTACATTTTTGTGATGAAATCCGGAAAATCATGTGAGGATAAGCAGGGAGCAGCCCCAGGTTGCTCCCAGGGCGCGGTAGCAACGTAGTTTTATAGTTATAGCAACATAGCAACATAGTTTGGAAAAACAGTTACCATTTCTTGTTCACATATTCCAAAATTTTTCATACTTTGTTTCCACACCTTGCTATCTTATCATGCACCAAATCTGGTGCCATATCGTTACCTAATCGTTGCAAACGAGCTTAATCTGTAAATTTCCTTCTAGAAAATTCCTATTTGAACTCCTGCGCGCTAGTGCTGTGATGTTTTGAAGTTGCTTGCGAACGTATGATGCGCAATAGGGCGCATCAACGGCGAAGGGAGGCTATAAAGGATACAATATAGGCGTCGGTAATAGTTGTAGGTGGAGACTAACTATTTATGAGGTGATATTTTTTTAAACTTTTATGAAAGTTAGTACCTGCTGGCAAGAAACTTTTCGTTTTTTTAAGAAAAGGAGCCAAATAGCTTTGGTGTAGCATCTCGAAGCCACTTTTCCACAATCTAAATTTTGCTACCCTCTTCTCTGAAA